TTGTTTGCCTCGAGTCCGCGCAATGCACACTCGCTGACGTATTCTTGTACTGGTGCGGAATTGCTTCGGATTTGAAGACTGTCCTCAGCCAGAGAGCATCGGGGATCCCCGACAGCGTGAAGAGCGAGGTACGCGCGATCTTCAATACTCGATGGTCGGAGATGTTCGAGGACGGACCCACCGATGTGCATCTCGCCGCGGTATACCTAGATCCTGGTCAGTGGGCATCTACAGAGCACTATCAGACTGATTACTCACACATTCCACCGAAGTGTACCTCAAGTCCGACCTCTTCAAAGAGCCCGTTAGCGATCCTCCGGCGAAATCTGATCCAGGAGCCCGTATCAAGCATCTACGCATCTTCAAACGTGTAGGGAAGTACCTTGTAGTGCTGCTTGGTGCCGAAGTTGAACACGGTGATCATCCGCTACTGCATGTACCTGAAGAAGAGAAGCGGGCTGTCAAGAAGCGTTTTTTCAGTCAACTCATGGCATACGCACAGGACGACCATCCATTCTCAGCCCCGCACAAACAGGGCCAAACTGTTCTTGAGTGGTGGGAGGCGCACCGAGAGTCTCCACACGCCGATATCCTTGCAGTATGTCTTGTTGTACCAATGGTCGGCCACATATTCACCTGCTGAAATTCGCCTCACAGGCCCTCGCCATCAAGATCTACTCAGTTATGACAAACTCGATGCCAGACGAACGTACCGCGTCGATCTTCACTCGGCTCAACAGTCCTGTGCGCAACCGCATGTCGATGCAGGCAATGGTTTCGCAGGCCCAGATACAGCAGTTCTATCATACACAGAAGGTATTGGACAGTCATTGCAGTGAATATCCGGAGTACTATGCTTACCGTAGAGCCTTCTGTAGCCACGCGCCACAGTTTCTCCTGTCTCAGCGAAGAGATTCTACGAGCTGAACAGCACCTTACGAGAGGACACATCACTGCGTAAGAACAGTAAGCACCAACGTACGGAACAGGGCATACAGGCCAAATTACCTGCGATAGAGCCGGACGGTGACGACGACGACATCGATGACTCGAGTGGTGATTCCCCGGCTTGGCTCGATGAGAGCGTCGAGCATTGCGGCGCCGCGGCGATCTTCCAGATTGAAGAGTATATCAATCTCGAGTCGGTGGTGCTGCATGATTTGCTCTCCAGCGACGCGCCGGACCGATCTGCTGCGTCCGATGGCAAGAAGGAAGCCGCAACTGACAAGTTGGCCCAGGAGTTGGATGGAGCAGATACCGATGGCAAGGTGGAATGGGTCTTCGATTTCGACATGTAGATACATTACAGCCATTCGGAAACATAGTAGTTGCTTGCTCGCAATGAGAGTACAGTGCGCGAGACGCAAAATCCTGACGAGCGACGCACAATGGACGACAACATCGAGTCGGATGGCTCCGAACGCGAAGCGCAAGCTCGTCACGTGACTCTGTTTGTTACGGTAAGAAACACTGGTAAGAAACGCACACCGCGCCGGCAGTTACTTACCTACCGGTAAGTTACAGTGCTCGAGTTTCTTACGCAACCTTAGTCGGCGCGGGCCTCGGGCACGTGAACACGACACACCGGCGGCAGCACGACTGCACTGTGCAGAACGTGCAGCTCGCCGCTTTGCGCCGCGAGGAGGAGAGCGGACACGCGTCCGTGAGCACATCTGCGTGGGGGCGTGGCACGGCGGACACGTGGGTGGACTGCATCACGGGGAACGGCGTGATGAGCGAGTTGGGCGTGGGCGAAGAGAGAACGGTGGCAGCGAAGAGAGAGCGGCGGCGGCGAAGAGAGAGCGGTGGCGGCGAAGGGAGAGCGCGAGGGAGAAGGAGAAAGCACGAGCGCGATGGAAAGGACACGAGGGCGAAGGGAGACGTTGAAATCCGATTGCGGTGTGTGCCGCTGGGTATACTCACCCGCAGACTCACGAGTCTGGTGCGCGAGATGCCGGAGTCGCGGTGGCTTTGAAGGTAGTCACCTCAGGCTTTGAAGGTAGTCACCTCAGGCTCTGATCGGAAGGCGGAGGCCAGCGCGACAGGCATCAGCGGGAGCGCTGACCGGCAGATCCAAGCGAGTGTCCTCAACTGCGCTGTGCGCCGACGGATCCGCCACCGCAGAGGGAGTAGCTGGCCGCTATGGTGGAGGGTCTGCGAGACTGAGTGTCCCGCGGCACGGCACTCATCTTGTGTGCAACCGGGACTGGCGTGGAGAGCGCGTTCGAGGTCGCGCTACGAGAGAGTGTGGGGAGCAGCGCAGACCGAAGAATGGGCATTGACTTACCCAGTGGTCTTGCACTCGTGCCCCAGTCAGCACGACGGCGAGATCGGCGCATGGGACTGCCTAGCCAGTGCGCGTTGAGTGCGTGAATAGACGTGACTGCGCGTGGACTCGTCGAGGGCTGAGACTGTGGCTGTTTGGCGGGAGAGCAGAGGAGTAGACAATGTCAGCATCGTAGAGTCGTAGAGGTACACGCACCTCGTCTCGCGCTTCCTCTCCACATCCACATCCACACTATCCTGTCCCCCTCCTGTGCCCGCTCTATCAGCATCCGTGCGTCGCCCCGCGTGCCAATCGTCCATTATCTTGGCCATGTCGGGGTATGATTTGTGTGATGCAGAGCGCGAGGGGGGTCGACAAAGACGTCCGCGCGGGCTTGTCCACGTGCGAGCGGAACATCCTGTGAAAGTCGAGGTTGGGCAGCGCTCTGCCACGTCGGAGGGTCGTGCCGGCGAAGGCCCAAGCAGTGCAGGGTAGGTCGGAGAGGCGGGTAAGTCGATGGCAAGGCGGGTGTCCAGATGAGGGGTGGATGTCCGCGCGAGCGAGCGGGAAGGTGCGTGGGTACGTGAATGTCGATGTGGAGGAGGAGAGCACGACTCGCAGGCGCAGCTGAAGTGCTAAGCGCCTCAGCCACTGCGACACGTCAGTGACGCGCGCTTGCTACCATCCTCTCGCTGCACTTCACCACACCTCCACCTTCGGCCTTGGCACCCTCACCGCCATCTCTAACCTTCGCTTCGCCCTTCCCTCCTTGCGGCCTACCTCAAGAAAATACGTGCAGTTTCGTCCGCAAGAGATGTCGACATGTGAATCGACCCGCCACGCGCCCTACGATTGCGTGGCCCAGCAGTCGCAACGGGCTCCAGCGACGCGCAAGGAACACCAACGGAGGGGCGAAGGATGGCCACGAAGGAGGGGGAAGATATTGTGGCTATAAGGCAAAGCAATCAGGTGAGTACGCTCCTTGTCGTCTCGCGACCTTACCTGACAAGCGCAGTCAGGTCGCAGCGACGATCGTAATGAAGGCGCCGAGTCGCCGCCGACGCAAAAGCGGGGGTGATAAACCCCGGTCACAGACAGGCTCAGACTACTGCAACCAGGGTGTGGCGACCTGGACGCCTGCAAGCAGTACGTCGTCTTCTTTTCACCCAACACTGGAGTCCCCGATGTTCAGCGCGCCGCCCATTAGTACTCCCAACAAACACCCGTGAACACGTCCTCCGATCTCCTGCAACGTAGCCTCCCGCGGTCGTCGCAGCGTGGCGGCTATGCGAGCGTGACGCCGCCGAATATGTCGTCTATGCCCGACGGCATGGCTTTCTCTCAGCAGCAGCAGCTGCACCCCTCCTCTCCGCCAACGGACCCTCCAAACGATGTCGAGGCCTGAGGACAAGCCCGCGTCACGACCGAACAAACTGCGCTGACCCCACTTGCCAGGCGCCCCCGACCCCGAGGACGGTAATTGCGCGGACTCAGAAACACGGCAGCCTCCACCCAAACGGGCACGCAAGGCTATCAACTGCGAGCCATGCAGGAACAGCAGACTTAAGTGCGATAGGTACGCCCTCTTCTGATCCACTCGTCCGCGATGTCGCGTCCTACGTCAACTCGCTCGTGCTAACACGATCTCCTCGCAATCCTCGATTTTGTCAGGAATCGCCCGTGCTCGTTCTGCGTGTTGAGAGGTGCGCAGTGCGATATTGATAGCTACCTAAGCAGACGTGGGTTCTGACGTCCCACAGCAGCTGCATCTCAACTTTCCCCAGCAGGACAAGTATCTGCTTCACTTGCAGTTGTTGCAGGTGCTGCCACAGGCCCCCGCGCGACCGGGCATGCAGACGAGATCATCTGCGCAGTCGGTCCCGACCGCGGACGTGATCCCCCAGCAGCGGTTCCAGTTTGCAGAGCACCGCCATCTGGACTAGTAGTAGTCGCGCTCAAGCCCGTGCCGTCTTCGTACACTGCGATGGGCAGCACGCCGACGAGCAACATTAACAACTTCTCGTCGTCGCCCGTTTCGTGGGGTGCAGATGAGCCCAGGCGAGCACAGTGTGACGCAGAGACAGAGCACGAAGCGCAAGCAGGAGAGTGCGATGAAGCTGGCGAGCCAGACAGAAGACGCGTGAGCACAACAGACGCGCCGAGCAAGTGCCGGAGCATTAGTATGTATGGTGGGCGACTACAACGCCTGTTGAACTGTCTAGTAATGGAAGTATATTGTTGTTAAACATATGAAGACATCTGAAGTAACTGAGAGTCTGATGCATTCTGACCACTCTGGACCACTCTGACATTCTCTGACACTCTCTGATGCTCTCTGAAAATTCTGTCTGACAACAGCAATTTGCAAAAACTCGAGATCTTGAGGTCTGGCTGTATGAGCCGTTCTGATGCGAAATGAAGTGTTCTGAGTGCTTATGAAGCCCCTGACAGGGCCCTCAGAGGAATTGCACGAAATCCTGATGCTACACAGGATGGGGGAGCGGAGACACAAGCGAGTTGAGGAAAAGGAGGACGTCTGCCATACGCAGGCATCGCTTGGTCAAATGCACTGTCGTATGCTCAACCTGCGGTATAAGATTGTCGTGACACGTGAACGCTCGAGGAGAGATGGTTCGCGGGGCTGGCTTACCGATGAAAAGGCGAATCACGGGGATATGACACGTCGACACAGTGCTCATCACAGCCACGAATGGGCAGAGTACACAAACACACCCTACACAAATTGTGTCGCATGCGACTTCGCCGAACCGCCTGGTTAGCAATCAACGTCAGATGAGGATAGCACATTTCCAGTCCAAAAAATGACTCACCGGCGCGCCTCTGCCAATGAACTGTCATCTGTAAGACCTGGAGGACGTCCCGCACCGGTCCCCAAGACTTGTCCTGCTCCTCATGCTCCTCATCGTCCTCGTCGTCGTCCTCTGCATCGTCCTCGTTGTTCTCGACCATCTTGAGGTTGGGAAAGATTGCCAATAAGAACGCCGCTATCTTCTCGGGCTTCCCATGTGCGCGCGACCGACCAAACGAGATGCGACGCAAATTCCCATTGCAGTAGCCGCCACCAGGCGTCGTGTTGAAAGAAACGTCGGTGGCCGACGTATCCACATCAATCGAGAGCGATGACAGTGATGGACAATACCGGGCGAGGTAGGCTATACCCTGCAGTGTAGTCGCTGTGGGGGTCCTCCAGGGATACGACGCCCCGCTCATCAGTTCCAATGACTCCATGCGAGACCAGGACATAGCTAGGCCTTTGAGGGCATCATCGTCGAGGACGATGCACATCTCTGTGGAGAAATAAAGGTTCCGAAGGCTGTGGAAATCACCAAGTCGCTGCAAGATCCCCGCAGTGATGGCCTGCACACCTTGTTCCTCGGGCTCAGCATCGTCGCCGACAGATACTTCGATGTCGGTCAGCGATGCATGTGAGCATCGTTCGTGAATGTGGCGCAGCGCTGTGTCCATGGCGTTCGTGGTCGAAGCACGGCTAGACATGATGCATAACTTCGTGAGATGGGGAAACTGGCATGTTGCTAGGACTTGAGAAATGCTGTCCATGGATGGAGATGACAGAAAGAGGTCGTCCAGCGAGCGGAAGACGAGATCCGTCAGGATACCTTGACCAGCTCTCCTCGGAACGGCCACCACCATTGGGCTCAGGATTGTCACGACTCCGAGCTCCCTAAGGTGCGGGAGAGCCGCGAGGCTTGCGAGATCGCTGAATGATATGGGTAGATCCGAACGCACTGAGTAGCACTTCAGCTTCGTCAATGACTGGAAGACATTGGATAGGAATGGCTGCACAGGTTGTACGACCTGCCCACCGCGTCCCGAATACATGAGTCTCAACTCTTCGATATCCGGAGAACGTTGTGGGAGGTTTGACAAGGCCGGAGCAATGGTGCCAGACATGCCCCCTCCAGTAGTACCCCACCACCCCATTTGAAGCGTGGAGAGGCGCTGGCCGAAGAGCAAGTGTACAGAGCCGTGATATTGATATGGTGCGTTGCCCGGCCACTCGAGTCTAGACAAATTTGGGAGGAGTTGATGACCAGGCCTTGACGAATGCAGCCAGAAAAATAGCGCCTCTGAAACAACGGGACGTAATTTCCGGAACCGCGACGGTGGTGGACCGAAAGCGTAACATAACTCGCGAACACGTCGAGCGTAGAAGTCGAGGCGCTCCCAATCTTGTTGTGTTGTAGGTCTTGGGGGCTCTCTGAGGATCTGTGGGGATACGTAGACCCGGCATTCCGCGGAACAGGTGGGTATTCCACTTACTAAGGTTCCCTCTGTAGCATCTTCTACTGTCCAGAGGTCCTCCGGTAAGCACTGGACCAGGTGGCCCAAATCGCTCTGGGAACTCCATATGACATCCAAGGCAGGTTCGAGAAATCCGCGGCATGTGAGTGCCAATGCTAAGAGCGTCGCTAGTCGAAGTTGCCAGTGGTGGCTTTTCGTCGCATCGATGATGAGGAGACGCAGCTCCGGAACAGCTAGGGCTGGGTGCATCCTGAGGTGTACGGTCTTCTTACTGTAGACGCGTTCCTGAGTACCCACTAGAGCTCGAAGGTTGCTGACAGCTTTTGCTGCGGATGCCAAAACCTGCCACTGCGGCCCCATCAGGAAAGCGTCACGGCATCTAACTTGCCCTAACCTGTCTAACTCACCTAACTTATGCCTAATTCACCTCACTGTCTAACAGATTTCGGCCTCTGCGGCCGGCTACATACCTTCAGTCGAGCAGCCATCCATGTGTATATATTACATAGATACATTATTGTACAGTAACAAGCTGTTGCAGATAAGTAGCGTAGGAGTGCGAGGCGAGTATCGTGCTACTGCACGATTTGACACGTGCTCCAGCTACAAACACTTCTATTGACGAGGTCTACAGAATTGAATAGGCATGCATTTACACATGCCCTCGACAGGCAGGCAAACAAGCAAAGAGCGAACAAGCTGGTGAAGTGGGCCAGGACGGGCACTGACAAGCGGGCGAGCATGCCTACGCAAGCGACGGCGTGGACATGGCGACAATGGGTGAAGGTGACGCGTGGCGGCAGCAGAAAGGGCATGGCGGCAGCGGAAAGGGCGTGGCGACGGCATATGAAGCGAGGGCGCGGCAAAGACGGCGACGGCGACGGCGGCAAGGGCGAGTGCGCGGCGGAAAGTAGTGTGTTGAGGATATGGTGGAGGGAGGGGCGCCACCGGGCGCAAGAACTTGAAGGCGGCGCGGAAGAGATAGAGACGTACCTCTCGTCTACGCAGGAGACCGCGGCGGGGCAGGGGACGGTGATACGGCGGGGCGGGAATGCCAACACCGCAGTGAATGGGGATGGGGATGGGGCGGACGACGCGCCATGCGTGCACGGTGAGCGCAGTCACAGGAACGCGGTGGCCGGCGACGGCGTACCTTTAGGTATTGAGCCTATGTGCTCGTTCTGCCTGTAAACCCCGTATCCTGCCTCCTCCTTCCTCTTCGTGGTCTCCTCGCATCCTCCTCGCCGGGAATTCCTCGCATTCTGCATGTCTCCTCCTTGCCCCGCGTTCTTCATGTTCAGCGTGGTCTGATTGCTCGGCGCTGGACTTGCACGCGCGTTGCGCAAGTCCTGGGCCGCGCGGCGGGACGCGAGTCGAACCACCGACGAGGAAGACCGCGTGGGCTTGGCTCTTGTCAACCTTGGAGTCACGGAGGACCTTCTCGACGGGCTCGAGGGTAGTAGCTTTGGAGACGGTGCTGTTGCGCGTTGCGCAAACTCGCGCAAGGCCGCCGCGCGTCTGCCCTAAAGCGAATTGCAACTCCGCTTTGAGTCACACGGTGCGTGCGGCCTGCGCTCGCCTGCGTTGCTGGCACTTCTCCCTTCTTCTCCCTCACAACGGCGGGCGACTTTCCACATCACCCTCGCACCCTGCGTCGCGGCTTTACCGGCTCACTTGCTCAATATCTACGAGGTTGTCGGATGCACCCAGGCCGACCTCTTCATCAACAATGGCAGCCACAGCGTCGTAGGCCGCAGCGCGAGCAATGTCAGCGCATTTGGAAGGTGACGTTCCTCACGGAGCACCAGTTGTCCCTTGCACTGAGATCGAAAGTGAACCAGATCACGATGTTAGGCACAGAAGCCCCTCATGAGAGGGATGAGGTATGTGTTTTCTCCGTGCCCTCGAATGGCTCGGCTGCGATAAGCATAACAACGTTGACTCACATCAGGATTTCGTGCAATTCCTCTGAGGGCCCTGTCAGGGGCTTCATAAGCACTCAGAACACTTCATTTCGCATCAGAACGGCTCATACAGCCAGACCTCAAGATCTCGAGTTTTTGCAAATTGCTGTTGTCAGACAGAATTTTCAGAGAGCATCAGAGAGTGTCAGAGAATGTCAGAGTGGTCCAGAGTGGTCAGAATGCATCAGACTCTCAGTTACTTCAGATGTCTTCATATGTTTAACAACAATATACTTCCATTACTAGACAGTTCAACAGGCGTTGTAGTCGCCCACCATACATACTAATGCTCCGGCACTTGCTCGGCGCGTCTGTTGTGCTCACGCGTCTTCTGTCTGGCTCGCCAGCTTCATCGCACTCTCCTGCTTGCGCTTCGTGCTCTGTCTCTGCGTCACACTGTGCTCGCCTGGGCTCATCTGCACCCCACGAAACGGGCGACGACGAGAAGTTGTTAATGTTGCTCGTCGGCGTGCTGCCCATCGCAGTGTACGAAGACGGCACGGGCTTGAGCGCGACTACTACTAGTCCAGATGGCGGTGCTCTGCAAACTGGAACCGCTGCTGGGGGATCACGTCCGCGGTCGGGACCGACTGCGCAGATGATCTCGTCTGCATGCCCGGTCGCGCGGGGGCCTGTGGCAGCACCTGCAACAACTGCAAGTGAAGCAGATACTTGTCCTGCTGGGGAAAGTTGAGATGCAGCTGCTGTGGGACGTCAGAACCCACGTCTGCTTAGGTAGCTATCAATATCGCACTGCGCACCTCTCAACACGCAGAACGAGCACGGGCGATTCCTGACAAAATCGAGGATTGCGAGGAGATCGTGTTAGCACGAGCGAGTTGACGTAGGACGCGACATCGCGGACGAGTGGATCAGAAGAGGGCGTACCTATCGCACTTAAGTCTGCTGTTCCTGCATGGCTCGCAGTTGATAGCCTTGCGTGCCCGTTTGGGTGGAGGCTGCCGTGTTTCTGAGTCCGCGCAATTACCGTCCTCGGGGTCGGGGGCGCCTGGCAAGTGGGGTCAGCGCAGTTTGTTCGGTCGTGACGCGGGCTTGTCCTCAGGCCTCGACATCGTTTGGAGGGTCCGTTGGCGGAGAGGAGGGGTGCAGCTGCTGCTGCTGAGAGAAAGCCATGCCGTCGGGCATAGACGACATATTCGGCGGCGTCACGCTCGCATAGCCGCCACGCTGCGACGACCGCGGGAGGCTACGTTGCAGGAGATCGGAGGACGTGTTCACGGGTGTTTGTTGGGAGTACTAATGGGCGGCGCGCTGAACATCGGGGACTCCAGTGTTGGGTGAAAAGAAGACGACGTACTGCTTGCAGGCGTCCAGGTCGCCACACCCTGGTTGCAGTAGTCTGAGCCTGTCTGTGACCGGGGTTTATCACCCCCGCTTTTGCGTCGGCGGCGACTCGGCGCCTTCATTACGATCGTCGCTGCGACCTGACTGCGCTTGTCAGGTAAGGTCGCGAGACGACAAGGAGCGTACTCACCTGATTGCTTTGCCTTATAGCCACAATATCTTCCCCCTCCTTCGTGGCCATCCTTCGCCCCTCCGTTGGTGTTCCTTGCGCGTCGCTGGAGCCCGTTGCGACTGCTGGGCCACGCAATCGTAGGGCGCGTGGCGGGTCGATTCACATGTCGACATCTCTTGCGGACGAAACTGCACGTATTTTCTTGAGGTAGGCCGCAAGGAGGGAAGGGCGAAGCGAAGGTTAGAGATGGCGGTGAGGGTGCCAAGGCCGAAGGTGGAGGTGTGGTGAAGTGCAGCGAGAGGATGGTAGCAAGCGCGCGTCACTGACGTGTCGCAGTGGCTGAGGCGCTTAGCACTTCAGCTGCGCCTGCGAGTCGTGCTCTCCTCCTCCACATCGACATTCACGTACCCACGCACCTTCCCGCTCGCTCGCGCGGACATCCACCCCTCATCTGGACACCCGCCTTGCCATCGACTTACCCGCCTCTCCGACCTACCCTGCACTGCTTGGGCCTTCGCCGGCACGACCCTCCGACGTGGCAGAGCGCTGCCCAACCTCGACTTTCACAGGATGTTCCGCTCGCACGTGGACAAGCCCGCGCGGACGTCTTTGTCGACCCCCCTCGCGCTCTGCATCACACAAATCATACCCCGACATGGCCAAGATAATGGACGATTGGCACGCGGGGCGACGCACGGATGCTGATAGAGCGGGCACAGGAGGGGGACAGGATAGTGTGGATGTGGATGTGGAGAGGAAGCGCGAGACGAGGTGCGTGTACCTCTACGACTCTACGATGCTGACATTGTCTACTCCTCTGCTCTCCCGCCAAACAGCCACAGTCTCAGCCCTCGACGAGTCCACGCGCAGTCACGTCTATTCACGCACTCAACGCGCACTGGCTAGGCAGTCCCATGCGCCGATCTCGCCGTCGTGCTGACTGGGGCACGAGTGCAAGACCACTGGGTAAGTCAATGCCCATTCTTCGGTCTGCGCTGCTCCCCACACTCTCTCGTAGCGCGACCTCGAACGCGCTCTCCACGCCAGTCCCGGTTGCACACAAGATGAGTGCCGTGCCGCGGGACACTCAGTCTCGCAGACCCTCCACCATAGCGGCCAGCTACTCCCTCTGCGGTGGCGGATCCGTCGGCGCACAGCGCAGTTGAGGACACTCGCTTGGATCTGCCGGTCAGCGCTCCCGCTGATGCCTGTCGCGCTGGCCTCCGCCTTCCGATCAGAGCCTGAGGTGACTACCTTCAAAGCCTGAGGTGACTACCTTCAAAGCCACCGCGACTCCGGCATCTCGCGCACCAGACTCGTGAGTCTGCGGGTGAGTATACCCAGCGGCACACACCGCAATCGGATTTCAACGTCTCCCTTCGCCCTCGTGTCCTTTCCATCGCGCTCGTGCTTTCTCCTTCTCCCTCGCGCTCTCCCTTCGCCGCCACCGCTCTCTCTTCGCCGCCGCCGCTCTCTCTTCGCTGCCACCGTTCTCTCTTCGCCCACGCCCAACTCGCTCATCACGCCGTTCCCCGTGATGCAGTCCACCCACGTGTCCGCCGTGCCACGCCCCCACGCAGATGTGCTCACGGACGCGTGTCCGCTCTCCTCCTCGCGGCGCAAAGCGGCGAGCTGCACGTTCTGCACAGTGCAGTCGTGCTGCCGCCGGTGTGTCGTGTTCACGTGCCCGAGGCCCGCGCCGACAACCTTGAGGATCTGCTTGAGCTGGTCGATGAACACCGCCTACATGCCGCGCTCCGAATATGTATTATGATCATCGTAGTAGTCTCTGAATACATTGCATTTATGTCAATTTAAAACATGTGATATGTGCTGTCTGATGTGCTGTGCTACTGACACCGTCTGACACTATCTGAGGTGAAATGAGAAGATCTGACAACATGTGACGTCTGGTGTGCCCTGATGCTTCTGAAGCTCTCTGAAGGCCAACCTTCAGAGGCTCATACCGTCAGAAATTGCACACTTTCCTGATGTCAAAGGATCCGGAGTACTAGACCTTCTATCATAGAGTTCTCTCTATGCTGTGAGATTTGTAGCGGATTGAAGCCAGGCGTGCTCCCGGTAGTGAGTGAGCTCACGGCGAACGAGTTCGCCCAGTTTCTTACGGTTGTCTTCTTTTCTGAGTTCTCTTCCAAGCTGCGTTCGAGTCGGAGCGCTCAAGCGGTCTGGTATATCCGGCCCGCACCGGGCCGTAACGTTGAACAGCCAAAGCTATTATTTATTCAATTTCCTCCTTCCGATCGAGGAGTGTCCGTGAACGTATATCGATCTATGTACTAGGAGACGATGACCGGCTTGACGGATATGACGGTCACGGGTGTAGTGACGCGCGGCGAGGGAGCACACCAGCAGCCTCCATCAGGAAAAATACCTCCAATGAATTAGCATGAACGTCATGTTATTCCTCGGTATTGGTAGTATTAATGACTATTCTTTCTGTTCTCGTAAAACCAAACATTCCCTGGTCCCAGTGGGTCTATTATAGGAATACTCAATAATACCTGGAATTATGGAGCATTTGTCCAGCATACCTATGTAATGAGCAACATATTCTACAGTATACTCTGAACATTCACAACAGTCTAGCAATTTATTTCCATTCACACAGAACACTGAAGAGAACATTATGTGTATTGCATTGCATTCAAACAGTACTAATAGCCTAAGGGCCTACTGAGTGCTACACTACATAGATCCAGTGTCCAAGATTACAAGAACAGTACGTAGTAAGCAGAGAAATATAGCAACGAGACAAGCGGACAATAACAACCAATAGCAACATGATGGAGTACATTGTCCTCAACAATGCTATATAAACTACCCATGCCGGCCAGAGCAGCGAGACAGGCTGTAGGGCGAGGCAGGGAGATGCTAGCCATCAGCATACCTCCCTGACATGAGACCAGGAACATGCTCACCATGCACAACTGAAATCTGAGTCTTGACGAGGTTCCGGTCCTTCTGCAAAACTCGCCGCCGCAGCACACGACTGTTGCTGAGTGGACGAGTGGGTGTCCTTACGCTCGCGCATGGACACATACAGCTTCAGGCCCAGGTCCAAGTCTGTTGGTGAGGAGACTGGGAGAGACTCACCAGGCTGCTTTGATGAGACCGGCACGAGCAGCGGGGGTGCTTGGCCATGGCCCGACCTAGGTGAACACCAGTTGGGCGTTGTGTTCATGCGCTGATACGCTCCCATCTGGACTACACCCCGATTCGTGGGGTATCGAGCTCACGCGCGCAGTTCACCGACTTAGACATTGCTCGACATTGGCCAGCACGCTACGACTACACTAAGAAGACTCTAGCGGAAGTCCCGTCCCACGAAGGCTCCAGTGCTACGACCACGGCCTCGGAAACCTCCCCTACGACCGACCGTGTCTCGAACAGGCTCGCTGAAGTTAATGCCTCGCTCGTGCCCTCCCAGCTCGGCGACGCTCGTAGAGAGCGACCCGAGGATCCTACGAATCTCCTGCTGGTCCTCGTTCAGGCGGTGGACGGCGTTAGCCAAGTGATTGAAGCTGTCGGGCAAGCGGCGATACTCCGGCACATACAGTGGGTCGAGTTGGTAGGAGACCGGAGCCAGAGGCTCGTCAACAGCCTCGCGATGCAGGACGGACTCCTCGGACCAGGCGATGGTCGGATAGGGCGCGCCCAACGAGTCGTGAGGCAGCTTGTAGCGCTGGAAGATCTCGTCGATGTAGTTCATGACCTCGACGACGTCGTTGAAGGAGTACGGCGATGGAACGGAGTTCGGGTCATCGGTGACCGCCTTGCAGTAGGACTCGAAGAGACCACGCTGGAAAAGTCGGTGAGGATCTATCACTGGCCGACGAAGGCGACAGAAGACCTACGAGCATCCAACGAACGCAGTTGGCCCACGACAGCCATTCGCCCCGAGATACGGGTAGGAGACGTGGCTCTACGGCGGCCTCACCCTTGATGACTTCGATCAAGCGGTAGTAGCGGGCGATGTGAGCCTCCGCGGTCGGTTCGACGCGTATGTTGGGCATGGTGGTGTTGGGAAAGAATCTGCAAGACAGCCTCGGGCGTATCGTCGCGGTGCTACGGCTAGCCAAGTACCGTTCGGGCGGTTACCCGGAGCTAATCACGTTCAACAGGGCCCGAAGTCTTACGCCATCCTGGTGCATTCTGTGTGTGCTCGCCGGCCCAGTCGATAGCCGGTATGCTGGCCTCTACGATTGGGCAGCGCTCGCATCGTTCGACTTGGATCATTTATATGCACGTGTTTTCCTGTTTGTTTAGGTGTCGCTCTATCCTGTATATACTGCGGGGCGAGCGCCCTCGAATACCAGATACCCTTACCCTCTCAACTTGTCCGTTCGTCGTACGTCCGTCAGCAGTCAGTCCGTACGCCAGGAGTCAGTCAGTACGATCGTCAGTCCGTCAGGGTTCGTCAACGCCCCGAGTGGTGTCTCTACATCTTGTCCTGCCATCGCTTGCCTCGTCTAGTCCCTCGTCTCGTCGTCAAGTCCTCGATTCGCTCGGTTCGTGACCGTGGTCTACTCGTCTCGAAGCGTCCGCTACTTTGTCGTAGAAGCAGATCGGGCCTGCGCGAAGCCTTGCCGACCTCGCCCCTTCCACTATCGACCATCGTACCATCTCGGTACACCCTCCTAGCCACTAGGTCTCGCATATCGTTGCTCGCCCTTCGTCGGGTGTGTTGTGTGTGGCCTTTGTGGTGCTTTCGGTCACATCATCTTGGAGCCCACCGCGAGGGGCGTGAAGTTAAAGCAGGATTTCCCGGCCCCGTCTGCTAGACATCAGCCCGGCCGACTACGAGGACTACGAAGAACCGATTTTCGCGTGGGTAATCGAGAGTCGATTAGGTCCTGGGGCCGCAGCACGATTTCGTCGTAGACCTGGTACACTCCCTTCGACTCAAACCCCTATCCCACAAGCTCCCGCAGAAGTAGAGCGTGTTCTTGGTTCCGACGAACCAGAAAGCTCCTTTGCAGAACGTCCAACTGCCATTCAGTCAGCCTCGCAGGATCCCCGTCGTCATTCGTCTCCGACAGACCGATCTGAGGACCGTTCGTCAGTTTTCGGCTCACCACTATCCTCCCTATCTCCGTCGCCACCCCTTGACGAGGTGGCCCCGAAAGCGAACACGCCTACTACGCGTAGAGGTTCGAGCAGCTTCCCCGTAACTCCACCCCCACCTACCACGAGTCGTCGAGGTTCCGGAGCCCGTCCCGGACCAGTGCAGTCCACATCGAGGACAGGTCCAACCCGCAACTCATCCAGTTCTACTACTCCTACGAACGAGCCAGATATGTCTCACGCCGCTCAGTCAGCTGCTGCAGTCGCAGCGCACCCACCTGCCATGCCTGCCCGAGGTCACTCGACCGCGCCAGTCTTCGACGAGACCGAACCTCTCTCGTTCAACAGATACTTCCAGGATCTCGAAACCCACTTCTCGCGTTGCGGTATCAAGACCGAGGGAGACAAGAAGTCGTGGGCCACTAGGTATCCTCCGCTACGAGTCTCCGAGCTATGGGAGATGCAACCTACGTTTAAGGATGCGACCAAGACGTACGACGACCTTAAGAGGTCGCTACGACAGCTCTACCCGGGGGCAGACGACCAGCACAAGTACTCCATCGCGGATCTAGACAAGGTCGTCACCGACCGCGTACGGCTCGGCCTGTCCAATGCCCTCGACCTAGCAGCGTACTACCGAGACTTCTACATGATCTCCGAATATCTCATCTCGCAAGGCTCGCTATCGACGCTCGAGCAGGACCGAAAGTTCCAACTCGGTTTCTCGCCGGCGCTGTGGACGCCAGTGGAGCAGCGCCTTCTACTGAAATACCAGGATCACCCTCGTCAGAAGCCGTGGAGTTTTGCGATGATCTACGAGGCGGCGCAGTGGGTCCTCGACGGACCTACCCCGGCATCGACGTTTCAACAGACCATAGTGATGTCCCCAGTGGTCTCGACGATTCCGACAGCTGCCCCTGCGACCACGGCTGGTGGTGTTAAGGCGGAAGAACTACTACCCCTACTACAGACGTTGATCAAGACGCTCGAGAACCAGCAGACCCGCGGTCGGGCACCCGCCGCGTCGAACTCGACCACGAGAGATGGGCCGTTCTGTTACTACTGTGGACGCCCCGAGTGTCGTATTGGCCGTTGCGAACTTTTCGACGAGGATACGAAGAAGGGACTGTGTATACGCACGGCGGAGGGCAAAATCGTGTCTTTCGATGGCAAGTTCATGAGCCGCGGCGACGGCCAGACACTACGTGACGCGATCTTCGAGTACGCGCATCGCATGGGCAAGCTAGGACACGCCTCGACACCTGCGACCGGATCAAACGCGATCTTGCAAGGCTCTAGGGCTGACACCATGCTATATGAAACAGTTGACAGCCACCAAGCCGCGACCTACTCGCTCGGTCTCGAGGAACGCCTCGACCGTGTTAAGGACGAACTTTCGTATCTAACGGTGTGTAGCTCGAGAGTGTCGTGCTCCCGAACGCGATGTTCGAAGTGAGGGATACCAGGTGTTTCTGGGATAAGGAAGGAAGGGGATATGAGGGGTTTCGAAGGGAGTAGTGCCGATAATGGACCTCGTAGCCAACGCTATGGCTCGCGGTCCCGTTCTCGGTTCTCCAAGCTTCGTTCCGGGCTCGTTCCGTGGTCGCGCTGTCACGCCCGTTCCGTAGGTGCACCGCTGTGCTCGTTCCGCGTCCTCTGTCCGGTGCTCTGTCGCTCCTTCCGCGGGGCGTAGTGCTCCCTCCAAAGGTTCGTAGCCCGTAGCCCTTGCGCTCGTTCCGAATTCCGATGCCTTGCTCTCGTGCCGAATACCTATCCTCTCTCTCGATAATCCTCAGCAGCCTAGAAATGTCGATGCTGACAAACCCAGGGGGGGCACTCCCAGCTCCAGAAAATGCAGGTTTCAAAGGTGCAAGCTGAGCTCACAGCTCTCTAGATTCGGAGGGGAGGTGACTGAGGTATGTACAGCTGGCTGCCACGCAGTAAGGCGCGACACATTGATGACTAAGCGTCAGCACTTGCCGTAGTTAGTAAGTAATGTGAAATCGAGCAAAGTCCTCGTAGTACAATAAGGGATGGTGCTCGGAGGGAACGAGTTGAGTGACAGTGGGTCCGGTGGGAAGGGTAGAATGTAGGGTAAGGATAAAATGATAGAAATGTGTACTTTCCGGGCCTAGGTGGGGAGCACTCCCCACAACGGAAATCTACGCGCAGGAGCGGCGGAGGAGACCGGTCTTCGACGGGGTCGTGATAGAGAAACGTCAGACCAGGTCGACCGCCAGGCCAGCCAACCTATCCGCGGACAAGGGCAAGTCCCCGGCTCGGGCACCGTCAAGCGAACGAACGGTCAGATTCGAAACCCCCCCGGAGACGCCGCCTACGAGCAGGAGTACTACGCCCTCGGTCGAACAGTCCACTGCACGATCCGCGAGCCACGCGCCACCTACAGCCACTGCGAAGGACGTGCCAGCGGGCTCGAGCACTACCCCGACCACGTCGACGCCTAGCAACGCTGCGACAGCCGACAAGTCTGCGACGATTCACCCGTTCGCGAACGTGAAAGACGCGACCTACGTGCCGCCAACTACCCGTAACTTTGGTGCCGCACCGACCAAGGTTAAGAATCGCGATGGCTCGTACACGAACCTCGCTCCGGTAGTTCAAGCCCAGATCGCGGAAACCGTTTACAAGCGGTCTATGACCACTCCAACTGTCAGCTTGACTATTGAAGAGCTCCTCAGCATCTCGCCCGACATCCGAAACAAGTATCGCGAAGCGGTTACCCCTCGCCGAGTAGCGCACGATGCCAACACGGTGTCGACGAACATGGCCTCTGTTGAAAGTAGCGCGAACGGCAGCGAACAGGAGCTCGACTGTCACGATAATGAGCTGGACCCGAACGCGACGATCATCCCTGACACGTACGAAACATATCTCCGTGTTCTGCCCAAGGGGGTTCCGCCTAGCGAACTAGTTGTCGCGGCTGAGTCGCACGCACTGCGTACCGTTGACTTGCTCATCGACCGGAAGGAGAAAGTCGCGTGCATCCTCGACCCTGGTTCACAGGTCATCTGTATGTCGGAAGCTCTCTGCTACCACCTCGGTCTCGCATTCGACCCCACGATCTGCCTCAGCATGCAGTCTGCGAACGGTGGAGTCGACCGCTCGCTGGGCCTAGTCCACAACGTACCCTGCCAAGTTGGACCGATCACACTGTACCTCCAGATCCACGTCATCCGCAGAGCATCGTACGACGTACTCTTGGGTCGGCCGTTCGACGTCATCACGGAGAGCGTGGTCAAGAACTACTTCAACGAGAACCAGACGATCACGCTCGTGTGTCCCAACACCAACGAGCAGGTCACCATTCCGACGATGCCCCGAGGACGCCCCCGATTCCAAGAGGTTTTTCAGAAGAGATCGTCGACACTTTCGAACATCTAGTTCAAGCCGAAGAGGATGAACAGGTCGCGTTAGTGATCGACTTCGAGAACGATACCCCTTCCATTTCCGCCTATGCCAATATCTCCTCGCTTGATAACCCGGTCCTAGCGGCCACATACCTCTCAGTACCCGACACCTATTCCAACTTTATTTTCGACAGCGTCCGAACCAGTACAGAAGCCAGCCAGTCATCGACGAATACCACCTATGCTTCCCACGTTCCTTCTACTGTTCCTCTCTCTCATACCCGCGCTGGCGATACCCGTAGTAGTTCTTCTTCGACTGAGGATGACGCCGACGTCGCAACGTTCGCGCAAGCAAAATCAAAGAAGAAGTACAAGCCAGTCGCGCGCAAGACTAGACCAGTTCTGGGCTCGTTGCCTGCCGAGTTCCGCATCATACGCGACATTAAGGGAGACCCGCTCTCGACGATGCGCGAGCTCAACCCGAATCCACCGCCGTCCGAGACAAGAGGCCGCTATACCGCCGAGCGGGCAGCGACCACCGATAAGTTGCACGACGATGGACTTCTACAACCCGCGGAGCG